ATGAAGGATATAATCTGTATAGGGTATCTGCTTTTATAGATATGTAATATATAATATATGCATGTGTAGGTTTGTGTGTGACTGTGTGGTACATGGTTATGTACCTGTGTCAGGTCAGCAGAAAAAAAAAAAACAAAACAATAAATGTCCTCCTCTCAGCCCAAGGAGAGTGTCTGAGTGCTGGAGGCTTTCCAGAAGCCCGAGAACGAGTCCTCCTCTCCTGGATATTTGTGTGGGAATGTGGGTGTGTTAGCACAAATCCCAGAAATCAGCTGCTACCTGCCAACTCYGACATGTCAACACACCTCAGGCCAGGAAAGTGGGAGATTAAACACTGCTGCCATCCACAATTAGGGCCAGGCAGTTGCTGACAGCTGGTTCCGACCCCACAGCTAAAACAGAACGACCAGGAAGGGATCCCTTCCCCTCTTCTGCCTCTTTCCTGCCATTCTCATCAGCTCTCAGAAAACCAGACCTGGTGGCAGCTCCTCACTCTCCCTTCTATTTCCACTGAATCTCTTGGGTAAAGGGAGGAGAAAAAAAGGGGAATGCATGAACAGAAGAGGGGAAAGCAGGAAAAATAGTTTGAAGAAGGAAAAGACCTGAAAAGAGGCAAGAAATCATTCATCTTGTGATGCATTGTCCCCAGGCCCTCTGGCCAACTGATCCCCAMCTTGTATATGTTTCCTCCTCTGCCTCACATCATATGGATTTTTGTTTCTCTCAGTCTGTCCCACTGTTCCCAGTGCTGAGACTGGACACCAYAGCAGGCAGACCAGCTCAAGGAGCAGGGAGCAGGTTCTGAAATTCACCCCTCACATCAGACTTCCCATCAYTGCTTCCAGAATTAGCCCCGAGTCAGAGTTATGCTCTTCCTCCCTCAGCTGTGAGMTTTAGGAACAGAAATTCCTCACTTTGAGTGAGTGTTTGCATTTAGAGTGTGAAAACAAATGTAAACTCTTGTCAAATTGTCTATGACCTGACTTACACAGTCATACATGTCTCATAATACAAGAATACTGGGGGAAATATTGCTCATAATCATAATCAGCTCTTTAGAAAAGGCCAGCAGTAATAATAAGGAAATARTTTGCASTCCCTGCACAATGATAGGCACAGAYTGACCAGAGAGCCTCCCCTATAGCTCCTGATTTTTGTTAGCTGTTTGTGGTGTTCAGAATTTAAAAAGGAATCTGTGTCCTGCTCTCCATTGTTGGATGGTGCATGTGGACAAAGAGAGAGAGTCAATGCACCACACAGAGCTCTGAATCCACAACCTTCCCTGAYTGAAGTGCTGCAGATGGAATCTGGTGAAAAACTGCTGGTGTAGATGTGGTTTGRAAAGAGAAATGTTCCAGTACTTGGATATTATTATTTGGATCATATATATTTTATGAAATTTTTTTGGCATCACTTTTAAGGATTAGACCCTCTGCATTACATCGACATCTGCAACCAGTGCAGCAGAAGGGAATGTATGTGATCTGAAAACATTTAATGAAGGAGATTATTGAGATCCACAGATGTAGGCACTGAGAATCAATTTGTGCATCCTGAGGTGGCCATGACATCCTCATGGGACTGGCAGATAAAACACAAAATTTTTCTGAGACCCATGTATTCTGGAGAGGCAAAAGACAAGCAGGATACGACAGAATCACATCTAGGATTTCCATAATCACTTTTATTTATTATTGCTTGAAACTATATAGTACTAGGAAAGTTCTGTTCAGAGCTGAAATGACAGCTGGATTTATTTATTTTTTCAGCTGGGAAAATATTACTAGATAGAAAGTAAAATAAAATAAATTAGCACCCCCATGTTTCCTTATGAAGGGCACCCCCTGATGGAGGTTCCAATAACATTAACTCAAATTCCAGCATGGTCTGGTAACTGGAGCATGCTGAGGAAGCCAGTGCYGACATCCTAGCTCTGCCACTTGGTAGGMTTTTTAACCTTGAGCAAATCCATTMTTCTCCAAAGAAATATGTGTCTTTTTTTGCACTTTCTGTGCCATGAAACACAGCTTAAACCTCTGAAGGATGCTGGAGTGCTCTGGAGTGCCACAGGGCTGATTAGAAACAATGGAAGTGTGTCATCACCTGGATTTCTCGAGGCCACATTGTCATCCTGATTGAAAATTAGCCAGAAATGTGAAGAATAATGCTTAACTTYCATAACCTAAAACATGCTTTACTCTCTTAGTGGCAGATACTCAGCATCCCTGTTTCTTTTCTTTCACACTTGTMCATTAACTTGGGCAAATCAACCCAGACTGGGCTGCATCAAAGATCTGCTTCATTCACTGTCCTCTAAATCTCAGTCCTCCTTGGGTTCAGTGGTGCAATCCCCGTAGGCAATTTTAGTTTTTCTTGGGGGAAGGGCACGAAAATACTATTTCACAACTCTCACAAAAATCCAGCTCAGCTTTCYGTTGCCAGGCGACATCACGGTTTTACAGCAGTTCCAGCTGCTGATGTTACYAAGCAACGTCTTTCCCATCAAGTTGTGCACTTGAAAATAATTACTTGTTTATTAATTCTCATGATGGGTTATATTTCCCCCCCCAAGATCTTGGTATTTGCTCTTCTAGAACTTGTGAGAAAGCACGGGCTGAAGGACTGCCATGGATCAGTCATTCTTGCAGATCTCTGTGATATTGTTGGAATATGCAGAAATTAAGAATACTTTCACACTATTACATTAAGATCAGAGAAGAGCAAAATTCTGAGCACCTCCTGTTTCTTCTCTTTCCCGTGGTGTGTAACAATATCTCAGKGCTTCAGCAGAACTTTGCAATGCTTTATGTGTGGTATCAATCATGTGAAAGTAGGGAACATATAACATTTTGCCTTCTTTTGGCAGTATTTATACCTTAAAGTAAAATAACCTCAAACTAAATTGTCCTACATAAATACCTAAGGTASCATGTCTTCCATATGCAAGAAGCCAACAAATCTGTTTAGTATGTGTTTGGTGAGTGTACCAAATACTGGGATTRAATCTGATCACTCATGACAAATTATTTGGATCTGACTGAAATACCTAACTTATTAACCCACTACATAGCTTACCTTTAAGTCTGAGCTGTCTTTTCCCCTAGTTTGAGCCTTCCAGTCCTCCTGGGTTAAATCCTGTTTTGATCAAGAAAAGACAATCTCTCCCTGGATAAGTGTGAAGAGTGCACGAAAGCCACAGGGGAAATTCCAGCAAACAAGGTTAAAGCAGCCTGATGTGAGTACTTCTACTCCCACCAGATCTACCATAAAATCAAAGAGAATAAATAGAGACACCAGGGGATGTGGAATTCTCTMAGAGCTGGTGGTTTACACTGGAAGAGAGCAGAAGATCAGCATCTGCAAAGGTGGGAGCAGCTTGCAGTGAATAGGTGCTGCTGTGGATAGCTGGGATAGGAGTGAATTAATGAATCTTAATTTAGACACAAGAGTGGGTCAGAAAACTGACCCAAAGATACAGTCAGCATCCTCATAGGTCCAGAGAGCAGAGCACGGGGTGGCCACGTGTCACTGCCCTCATTTCACAGGACTCRTGGTTCATGGCACCAGGAGCTGCTTGTGTGGCCCTGCAAACCTTACACAACTCAGCCAAACAGAGGCATTCTCCTTTGCACATGTGTTGATAAAAATACACAACCAGAAATCACCATCTACCCACTGCTGAAGGTCATTTTCCCCAAAGTTTGTGCCAGACGATTGTTTTGCAAGGCAGCTTCTTCACTTTCACTTTGTGGCATTTTCTGGCCTGAGCTCAGAATGGAATAGCACCAAATGTGAGTTCAGTTTGTTTTTATGAGGAAATAATGCAGCTAGCAGAAGTGAGGCTGTATTACCAGGTTCTGTTTTCCTGAGTTCCCACAGGATCCCTGCTCTTAAATTCATGGCAGAGAGCCTAAACAAAAACCATTGCATAATTTGTTGTCTATAAGACAACCAATTGTGCAATGCCCCTGCTTTTTTTCCTAAGGAAGAACACATTAAAATTTTGAGTCTATAAACTTCAGATTTGCTGGATTCTGAATTGGGCTGGGGAGACAAAAAAAAAACATAAAACCCAGAAAGATTTAAAGGGCAAGGCTATCCATGTAGCCCTTGATTTAGCAACGGTGCATTCCAGCTCTTCACAGCCTTTATGTTTCCAGAGCAGGAGTTTGTAGATCAAAACCAAAAGTCAGATCATGGAACAGAAGTCAGCAGACAACATATTGCTGTCCTGTGAAACCCTGCCTTTGATCCATGTCAGATACGACTTTTCCATGCTGGATTCAGGAGTGCTGCCTCACTCTCTTCGAGATACAATAAACCCACAGTGGACTGACCATTCCTTTGGTTTGTGGCACCAAAAAGCACCACTGGTGTTTGCAGAAACTCATGAATCCCTTGGAGTTGCCACTAATGATAAATACTCTGTCTTTGGTTACAGCTGTGTTTTTGAGCTCCCCTTTATGGAAGCTGGAACGGACAATCAGAATTAATAATAACAATTAGCTCGCCCATAAACCTGTACTTCTTGCAACATCACATTTCAAAGGGTTTTTGTCACGTCTCCACCCTTCAGAATGATTAAATGGGAAATGATTTCACCATAACCTGAACAGGCACATCAACATTTGCTGGCAGGTATTTCTGACAGCTTTCATGGGTATACAAGAAAACGAAAGATGAGCTTAAACACATAAACAAACCTGAAAACAAAACACAGAATAGATATTCCTCTCAATACTGATTTTCCCTTGAAAACAACACATGCCTAACTCCGATGTATTATAGATAGTTTCACTGCACAATTTTTGCCGTGCAAGAGGCACTGCTTACACTCCAAGCCAAGAAACGGTAGAAGTGAAATATGTTTGACCCCAAACTGATATTCTCTTAGGTTGCTTTTTTGAAAAACTCAGTGAGGGATTTATGGCACGCAGAGAGCTGCAGCAGCCTGGCAGGAGCAGGGGGAGGCCGGGCTCAGGAGGTGTAACTTGTTTTCTTTCTCGCCCGGGGTGGAGGCAAGTTGGTTGTTGAGCAGGTTATGAAGGTGGGTCCCGGAGAGAAAGCCTACATTTCATGAGTCTGAGGWGAAGTAGGAGGAAAATCAGGCGAAAACTGGGGAGGTGAAGATGGAAGGAATGGTTTGAAGAACTGCTCTAAAAGCATCAGTGAATCCAAAGGTGCCAGATAAATCCTGGAACGTAAGTGCAGCGTTCAACATCCTCTGCTTTGCTTTCAGGAAAGCAGTTGTTCAGCTCAAAACTCTCTGTAGGCTGAACAATTTGGTACCAGTGAGCTGCTTTTGAGATATGTAGTGTTCAAATAATTTTAATAATGACATGTAAATCGTGAAAGATACTGATGATGAAGATTATCTTTCGGTTAACCTATGTTTATTTCATGGAGGGATTTTTAGGATGTTTGTAATATTTATTTGAAATTCTATACATATGATAAGGTGCTTGTAGTTTGCAACCTAAGTTGCAATGCTTATGCATTGAATGATTCAGAAATAATGTATGTAAAAAGGGTTGCAGTAACACTGTAATCTCAAAACTTATCTTTGCACTCTGCAATGTAATTCACACTTTATTATTATTATCGCTTGTTTCATTACTGGAGAATCTGTAATGTCTTTATTTCCCATTTATGACATTTATCTTCATTATTAAGCAGATGGTAATGTGAGAATTGTGTGAAAATTGTGGAATTTCRTGCTCTAGGGAAAGAAAAGACTGGRGAGACAATATGATATGATGTGTTAGTGGAGATTTTTGACAGCTGGCATTTCTGCTGTGCTCTTCTTCTCATTTTCTGCTTTGATTCCTGTGCATTTTAATAAAAAACTGTAAATAAAGTATTGGGTTTTTTCAATATTATTCAATATTTCAACTCAATATTACAGCTTTGGTCTCTATTAGCAGTTGCTGTCCTTAGCAGTCAGTATGGCTGAGCTGGTGCAGAAATATTGACAGGATATCATGCACAGGAGTGAATTTACTCTAAAATAAATAGGACAACATTACGACATACATTGGCTAATCTATTTAAGAACTCAATTAGCAAAATTTGCATTTTACACAATTATATACGAGACCCCACCCCAAATAAATTAACAACTCCGTGGGGACTCGGGAGAGTTTCATTCATTCCCCAGTTTATGTTATTATTGCAAGTGCTTGTAGGGRACAGTTTRGRGAGCTTGAAATTTCCAGGTGTTTTYACATGATGTCTGTGTGAACAGAAAAAASTTTGGGGAGAGAAAAACTCGGAAGGGGAACAGAAATGCCACTGTATTCACTCTGAGGGAGTTGTGCTGGCTGTCGAGGGAAGCACGTTGCTGCAGTGGAGTTATTCTTTCCCTYCTGTGCATTTAAACCTCAGTCAGCAGCTCTAACAGTCTGAGAATGTTTTATTATATCAATACAGACTTAAAATACTATAATCTAAATCTCTTGTCTTGGAACATTTCACTGGGCYGAGCCTAGAAAGATTTGTGTGTGTACATTTCTCCATGATGGAGTACTCCGTACTCAGGGAACAGTGATTTTGAAAATGTTATATCCAGCCTTCAACACAGCTCAGAACTGTTTTAAAACAGGGGAGGATTTGGCAGCAGCCTCAGCAGATAAAACCTCACGTTGCTAATTAATCACTGCAAGTGCAGTCCCGGCCCCTGTGATTTCAACAGGAGCAAGTTCAAGCACCGCTGTATCCCCTGAAGACAATCAAGTTTAAAAACAGAGCTCGAGAGCACAATACCAAACTTTTCTCTGTCTCTCTCCAAGCCTCCTGTGAAGAAAAATAATATTTCAAGTTTTAAAAAATGTGTTGTAGCAATAAGTAACTTTCTTTAAAAGCTTGTACAATTTCCTTGGCTTTCAAAGTGCAATCTCTCTTTCACAGCCTGATTTTAATGGAGTTGTTCTTGACACATGCTGCACACCAATCCAAAATTATTTAGGAAAAAAAACCTGAAGAAACTGTGTAATTTTCACCTATTGAGTAATACAATAAATAGAGTGAATTTAAATGCATTGAGCCCCCAAATMAAATGTCTAGAGCAAGAAGTGAATGTCTGTAAGTGAATCTCTGGTGTGCACTTTTACTATTCAGTATCCATTTGAAAGAAATACAGAAATGAACAAAGCCTGGGGAGACAATTCTAGAACTGCTCAGACCATTTTTTTTGAAATTAAATAATTAGAGCTGAACTAGTATAAAACCAATTACGGTAGGCAGTTCCTGCTAAGTCTCAAGAAAGTGTTTAGAACATTGTAACAGAATAATGCCTAACAAAAGCAGGGAATGGTTCCAGTGATCAGGATTAAAAAGTCCATTTACTCTTTCTCTGAGTGCACTGATGGAAAATTGTTTGTTTCAGTGATGGTCAGGTTTAACACCATGRTTCTGACAATGTGAGCATGCAGCTTGGTCCAGGAATTTCAAGAAATAGAAGTGGTTTGAATACAGTTAAAACAATTAGGTTTTGCTATGGGCTGTCCATCCAAAGTAACTTTGGCAAGGAAAATGTCTTTCTGCTCAAATGTCATGGCATAATCCAAAAACAGAGTGACARAGCTGAGTTTCACGACTGCCTTTCAGCATAAGTAGAGCCAGTGTAGGGAAGACAACWGAGAGACATTAGGAAATAAAATCAGCATGAGTCTTTTCCCCCAATTTATGACTTGGAATCATTCCACAACTCAATGTCAGCAGGGGCAGCGAGCAGGGTGACTGAGACAACAGTCCTCTAAAATTTCCAGGTGTTTTTGTTGCTTTATTTTGGTTTGATTTTTCACAGCAGATTTAGAGTCTGTTCTTTTCTTCCAGTGACCTGTTTCTAATTTCTGTGTGATCCTGGACATCAGCACTGAGATGGGCAATGAGAACAGCAGTGCAGAGAACGAGGTGAGTGTGGCAGGACGTTGCTTTTCCTTCCCTCCTAGCCCGAAGCAAACCTGACAGAAATTGCTTCCACAGGCCACTCACCCCACATTTATCCTCTGCTCCCCGTTACACTCATGTTTAAGTGTCATTAATGGTAATTGAAAGCACTTGGTGTGTTTTTTTCTTTTGGCAATGACAGCRCTCCAAAGATCGGGGCACGGTGCGAGCGGTTGTCCCTTCAGGGATGGGATCCCTGGGGGATCCCTGTGGGATCAGCAGGGCTGGCTCATCCCAAAACCCCAGCCTGGCAGCAGGACAGCCTTGGGAAGCTGGGGCAGCCCCAGGCATCAGGAACATCCTGAGGAGAGGGAGGGATGTGGGTCAGCCTGGCACAGGGGGCAGCTGGATGGGCAGGGCTGGACCAGCATCCTTTGGGATCACAGGGGGTGACATCCCTGGGGAGGCTGAAATGGGGTCCTGGGGGAGTGGAGGGAGCCCTGGGGTCAGGACAGTGCCTGTGGTGACCTCAAAGCTCTGGCACAGCAGCTCCTCATTGCTCAGAAATGACCTTGCTCTGTCTGTGTCCCCATCCAGGACTTTACACCCGTGTTCCCAGGGTGTGCTGTTAATGCCTGGTGCTGTTTGCTGGTTTATTTTTAGATTTTCGAAATGAAGGCCATGAAATGCTGTGGCTACTGGTGTACAATAACAGTAGAAGTTACTATGCTGATACGAGTTTGAATATAAGTTCTAATTCATTTATTTCAACAGTTAAAATACCAGTATATCTTTTATCCTCTCCTCTTCCATATGTTATGGTAGCTGCTAAAATGCATTAGGATTTATTTTGTGTCCACTTCAGGTCTCAGCAAATCTGCTGCACCCTGTGCATTGCAAAGTGGACCCTGTCAAGGCAATCAATACTACAAGATTTTTACATAAATTTTTTTGGGGAGAAAACTCTTCCATAATTCTTAGTTATTCTGTCCAGTTTGTACTGCTTGCCCAAGGTTTGGTCCCAGCTTTTATCAGGGTTTCGGAAAAGTGGAACATGTTAACTTCTATAACTGAGYAATGARAATTTCTTCTCCATAGTGTACRRCTTCCACTCAGGAAGTTTTTGAAARYCAAATATRTTTCTTCAGGTRKMRTMCTAAGACTGAGAAGACTTTACTTAAAAGTTATTTAATTTATTAAGAAATGTAATGAAAAGCTCTTCTTCTAAGGAAAGGAGGCTTCTGATTACCTTTTCAGACTGCAAAAACTTAAACAAGAGACAACCCAAACCCCTCCAAAAAAGAACAAAYCACCAAAACACAAAAAAAAMCCAAAGCAAAMCAAAATATGCTAAGAATCCAAATTCTTATTTAAAATACTATTAACAGAGAAATAACCAGAAGTAGCAATAAAACTTAAATATTTTGATTTTCAGTCAGAAATCCCCTGTGCCAATAAAGCCATTG